GGATAGAACAGGATTTATATCTTTTGTTCATAGGGTTGCAATGAGTCCTACTTGACCCGACAGCACCTAACAACAACAACATCTCTTCATTTGTAATTTCTGTCTTTTCAAATTGTGAATTTTTAAAAGACTTGCTGCTTCCTTTTCATTTATCGTTATTGGGTGTAAAACCTATTATCACTTTTTAAAAAAAATTAATTTTAATGAAAATTTACAGAGACTTAGAGTTTCCAGTTATTCATTGTTGCACTTTTCTCCCTACCCCTGAATTCACTCTTCTCCTTGAAAAGAAAACCAAAAACTCTCACTGTTGTGCAATCCCTCCCCCCCAAGTCCACTTCACTATGCAGCCTTCACTCTAGACTTCTGTAATGACAAGAATACCCATTCATATGTCCCTTTTAAACAGTTCTCTCCCTCATCTGTTTCAATGCAATATAGAATATACATCATTCCTCTCCCCCTTCTCTGTCTTCCCTCAACCCTGATGTCAGTCCCGTTTAACAACAGTGGCCTTATGCAATATTTGTCCTTTTTGTGATTGAGATATTTCACTCAGCATAATGTCCTCCAGGGTCATCCATTTTGAATATTTCATTAGTTTCTTGTTTTTCAATGTTGCATAGTATTTCATAGTGTGAATATACCAGAGTTTCTCTATCCATTCATTTGTTGATGGGCACCTGGGTTGTTTCCAGATCTTTGCTATTGTGAACAAAGCTACAATATACATGGGTGTGCATATATCTTCTTGGGTGTCAGGTATATTCCCAGTAGTGGAATTGCTGGGTCTAATGGTATTTCTATTTGCAACTTTTTGAGAAAGTGCCATACAGCTTTCCATAGTGGTTGCACCATTTTACACTCCCACCAACAGTGAATAAGGGTTCCCAGTTTCTCCATGACCTTGCCAGCATTTGATGTTTGCTGTTCTGTTAAATTTTGCTATTCTTACTGGGGTGAGATGATAGCTCATAGTTTTTTTTATTTGAATCTCTCTTGGAGCTAGGGATTTTGAACATTTTTTCATGTGTTTGTTTGCCATCTGAATGTCTTCTTTGGTCAAGTGTCTGTTCATATCCTGTGCCCATTTTTTAACTGGGTTATGTACTTTTATCTTGTTGTGGTGCTTGAGTATTTTATAAGTTCTAGATAGAAGTCCCTTGTTTGACATGCCATTACCAAATATATTTTTTCTCCAATCTTTGGCTTCCCTTTTTACCCTGTTGGAGAAGTTTTTGTATGTGCAAAGAGATTTGATTTTTAGAAGGTCCTATTCATCTATTTTATCCACTCCTGTTTGTAGATAAAAACTAATATCACTTTTACGGAGATGCCTTTGAATTATGAAGTTGGTGAAGAGTATAGAATATCTCATGGACTGCCAAAAAACAAATAAATTTGTCTTAATGAAAGAGCAGTCAGAGTGTTGCTTAGAGGCAAAGATAGAGAGATTTTGTCTCTTATACTTTCAGCATTTTGTCAGGAGAAGATTGTTGTTGTTGTTGTGTACCTCTGAGTCATAGGAGAACCTTCAGCTGGTTTTTAGAGGCAGTAAATCGTACAGGACTTGATTGACCATATTTCTCCCAAGGAGCAACTGGTGGATTTGAATTGTGTGCCTTTTAGTTGGCAGTGCATCTCCTTACCAGTAGGCTTCTAGAGATCCCCTTGGAAAAAGACATTGTACTTGGGAAGTTCAAAGGTCAGTAAAGGAGAGACAATTTCTCCACAAGATGGATTCACACCTGGAGTACAATCATGAGCTGAAGCAGAGTGGAGGTTGTAAGGGTGGCCCAAGACTGGGCAACTTTTCAGCTTATTGTACATAGGGTTGTTATGTGTCATTGGAGTACACTTGATGGTACTTGACAATGAACAAAATATATACATCTAGCACAGTAAAAAAATTGCTCATACTCCTTGACCCAACAAGTCTATTTATAATTTTTGTTTCTTAAAGTAATCATGTATATGAGTAAAATAGCATGTGTACAAATGAAATACATTTGAGTCTAATTATAATTATAAAAAGATGAGCAGAAGCTACATGTTCATGATCAAGAGATTATTTAGAATATTTAGTAAGTATGACATAGAGCAAGTTTCAGATTGTTGTTCAAGGGTGGCTATGAGTAATAGTCAACTTGATGACATCTACCAACAACATATCATACAGATATGTTATTGAGTGAAAAGATATTGTAGTATGTTATAAATTATCTTTCTTAGAAAAAGTGCAACCAGGATGTGCCTTAGAAGTGAGAACAACAAAACTTCAGCTCACAGAATTTAGGCATGTCCAGGAGAACCAAAATATGATCTCGAGTCTATTCCATTTGATTTTAAAATTTAAAATCCATCTTAAGAATAGGTTTGAAGCATTGAACATCAATGACTGAAGACCAGATAAATTGGGGGATGACATCAAGGATGTCATCCGTGAAGAGAGCAAAAGGTCACTACAAAATGAGAAGAAAGAGAAAACCAAAACAGGTATCAGAAGAGACCCTGAAAATTGCGCCAGAGCATCAAGAAAGCAAAACAAAGGAAAAAGATGTTGAAGTGAAAGAGATGAACAGAGAATTTCAAAGAGCAGCTCAATAATACAAAGCATACTATTATAACAGAATGTGCCAAGAGCTAGATTTGGAGAATAAAAAGGGAAGAACTTGCTTGTCATTTCTCAACCTGAAAGAAATGAAAAATAATTCGAAATATGGGCAAACTCTTGAATGATCCAGGAAGCATCAAAAGCAGATGGAGGAATACACCGAATCACTGTACCAAAAAGAATTGGTCTACACTGAAATATTTTAGGACGTAACTTACAATTAAAAGCCAATGCTAATTAAGAAAGGAGTTTAAATGTACTTCTGAAGGCAATGGAAAAAAATAAGGTCCTAGTAATCAATGGGATATCAATCAACACTTTTCAACTAACAGATTCAGCCCAGGATATGCTCACTAGTCTATGCTAGAAAATTTGAAGGACAGCTGCTTGGTTGACTGACTGGAAGAGATCCATATTTATCTGCACTTCCAAAAAAGTTGATCCAAAAGAATATGGAAATTTTCAAACAGTATGATTAATATCATATGCAAGCAAAATATGCTGAAGATTATTAAAACCCCACTAGACTAGTACATAGAGTACTGTCAGACATTCAAGCTGGATTTAGAAGAGGCCGTGGGACCAGGGATATCATTGCTGATGTCAGATGGATCTTGGCTGAAGGTAAAGAATTTCTGAAGAATGTCTATTTGTGCTTTATTGACTATGCAAAGGCATCTGACTGTGTGGCTCATAACAAATTATGGCTAACATTGAGAAGAATGGGAATCCCAGACCACTTAATTGTGCCCATGAAAAACCTACACTTAGACTAAGAAGCTGTTGTGCGAACAGAGTAGGGAAGAATACTCCATCATTTAAAATTAGGAAAGGTGCTTCAGGATTGTATTTTTTCACAATATTGATTCAATCCATATGCTGAAAAAATTGGAAGCTGGACTCTATGAAGAAGAACGTGAAATCAAGATCCAAGGAAGACTCATCAACAACCTAAGTTATGCAAATTATACTGTCTTAGTTACTGAAAATGGGAAAGACATTAATCACTTCCTGTAGAAGATCAAAGAATATAGCTTTCGATATGGATTGCATCTCAATGTCAAGAAAACGGGAATTCTCACTACTGGACTGATAGGTAACATCGTGATTGATAGTGAAAAGATTGAAACTGTCAGTGACTTCATCTTACATGGATCCACAATCAGTAAGTTGATACCAGCAGTAAGAAGATCCAAAGACATATTGCACTGGGAAAGTTTGCAGTCAGGGACCTCTCTAAATTATTGAGGAGTAACGATATTAGTTTGAGCACTAAGTTGTGCCTGATTTAGGTCTTTTCAAACATTTGCTATACATTTAAGAGCTGGGCAATGAATACGGATCACATAAGAAGGATTGATGCTTTTGAGCTGTGGTGTTGGAGAAAAGCACTGAACATCCATGGGTTGCCAAAAGAACAAATAGGTATGTTTTAGAAAAAGTGCAGCCAGAGAGCTCCTTGTAGGCAGAGATTAAAAAAAGCTTCATGTCACATACTTTTGGCATGTTACTACGAGAGGCTATTTATTCCTTGGAGAAGGACATCATTCTTGGAAAGGTAGAGGTCAGCAAGAGAGAGGACTCTCAACTAGATGAATTAACATATTAACTATAGAAAAGGGCTCGAGTGTGTCAGAGACGGTGAGGACAGCACAGGATAGGCAGGGTTGTTGTTCATAGGGTTGCTATTAATTGTATTGGACCCAACGGCACCTAAGAGCAGCAGCAGCAGCAGCAGCAGCAGCAGCAGCAGCAGCAGCAGCAGCATTAAGTGGATGCATACTTTTGAACACCCACATGCAGATGTATATAGTTGTATAATTTTAAATACCTCTTGTCCTAGAAGAAACACGCTGTCTCAAAACATATTTCACTTCTTCCTTTCCTCCTTTCACTTGTGGAGTCCATGTGGTGGAGTACAGTTGGGGCGCCCACTAAAAGGTAGACAATTTAAATCCACCAGTTGGTCTGTGGTAGAAAAGTGGGCAATCTCCTTCCACAAAGATTTACAGCCTCAGCAACTCAATGGAGAGTCACTCTGTATTGTTTTGAAACTACTCAAAGATAGTGAGTTGGCTTTTCTTTGACTTACAGAGGATTGTATTTGTTTTGCTAGTTCTTTTGTTAGTCCACCAAGAATATACATTTTCTGTCTTTCCAATTCGCCTGAACAATCATTGCCATATTAAAAGACTTAGAACTCTTAATGCTAACATTTTTTTAAAATGTATGGTCGTATGGTCTTGTAAATATGTCAGTGCACTTAAGGGTCCACATCTGCTTTAGGCTGGGTCCAATAGAGATAAAAAAAAATAGAAAAAGAAATTTATGCTCCTGCAAACCTCTGGACTCTGAGAAGCTTGGCGTCGGAGTGCATCTTGCAACCATGGAGTTGCCCGGGAGCCTGTGCAAGAAAGTGAAGCTGAGCAATAATGCACAGAATTGGGGAATGCAGAGAGCGACTAATGTCACCTATCAAGCTCACCACGTCAGCAGGAACAAGAGTGGTCAGGTTGTGGGGACCAGAGGTGGCTTTCGTGGCTGCACAGTTTGGCTAACAGGATTATCTGGAGCAGGGAAGACCACAGTGAGCATGGCTTTGGAGGAATACTTGGTTTGCCATGGTATCCCGTGCTACACTTTGGATGGTGACAACATTCGTCAAGGTCTCAATAAAAATCTTGGCTTTAGTCCTGAAGACAGAGAAGAGAATGTCCGACGTGTTGCGGAAGTTGCTAAGCTGTTTGCAGATGCTGGGCTAGTGTGCATTACCAGTTTTATATCACCTTATACTCAGGATCGGAACAATGCAAGGCAAATTCATGAAGGTGCAAGTTTACCATTTTTTGAAGTATTTGTTGATGCTCCTTTGCATGTTTGTGAACAGAGAGATGTCAAAGGACTGTACAAAAAAGCAAGGACTGGAGAAATAAAAGGTTTCATTGGGATTGATTCTGAGTATGAAAAACCAGAGGCTCCTGAACTGGTGCTGAAAACAGACTCCTGTGATGTAAATGATTGTGTCCAGCAAGTTGTGGAGCTTCTACAAGAGCGGGACATTGTACCAGTGAATGCCTCTTTATGAAGTAAAAGAACTGTATGTGCCAGAAAATAAACTTCATTTGGCAAAAACAGATGCTGAAACATTACCAGCACTGAAAATTAATAAAGTGGACATGCAGTGGGTGCAGGTGCTGGCGGAAGGTTGGGCAACCCCTCTGAATGGCTTTATGAGGGAGAGGGAGTACTTGCAGTGCCTTCATTTCGATTGTCTTCTAGATGGGGGTGTCATTAACTTGTCAGTGCCTATAGTCCTGACAGCTACCCAGGAAGATAAAGAGAGGCTGGATGGCTGTACCGCGTTGGCTCTGGTGTACGAGGGCCGCCGTGTGGCGATTCTTCGCAACCCTGAGTTTTTTGAGCACAGGAAAGAGGAGCGCTGTGCCAGGCAGTGGGGGACAACGTGCAAGAACCACCCCTACATCGAGATGGTCATGGAACAAGGAGATTGGCTCATTGGAGGGGATCTTCAAGTCCTGGACCGAATTTGTTGGCATGATGGTCTTGATCAGTACCGTCTTACTCCTACTGAGCTAAAGCAAAAGTTTAAGGATATGAATGCTGATGCTGTCTTTGCATTTCAATTGCGCAACCCAGTGCACAATGGACACGCTCTGTTGATGCAGGATACCCATAAGCAACTTCTAGAGAGGGGTTACCGGCGCCCTGTCCTCCTCCTTCACCCTCTTGGTGGCTGGACCAAGGATGATGATGTTCCTTTGATGTGGCTATGAAGCAGCATGCTGCAGTACTGGAGGAAGGAGTCCTGAATCCTGAAACAACTGTGGTGGCCATCTTCCCATCTCCCATGATGTATGCTGGGCCCACTGAGGTCCAGTGGCATTGCAGAGCACGGATGGTGGCAGGGGCCAATTTTTACTTTGTTGGACGAGATCCGGCCGGCATGCCTCATCCAGAAACTGGGAAGGATCTTTATGAGCCGAGTCATGGTGCCAAAGTGCTGACAATGGTCCCTGGTCTAATCACCTTGGAAATCGTTCCCTTTCGAGTTGCAGCTTACAACAAGAAAAAGAAGCGGATGGACTACTATGATGCAGAACACCATGAAGACTTTGAGTTTATTTCCGGAACACGGATGCGCAAACTTGCCCGAGAAGGCCAGAAACCTCCTGAAGGGTTCATGGCCCCCAAGGCATGGACGGTGCTGACAGAGTACTACACATCCTTGGAGAAAGCTTAGGCCGATCACTGCAGAGCTCCAGAGCTCTACATTGGTTAAAAAAGAGGGACCACTCATTCACTGTTGGGTTTGCTTTGTGGTGGTGTCTGTCTAGAAGTGCTTCTTAAAAAAAACAGATCATTGTCCTTAACTAACATCAATTTTTATCTGCCTTATGAGTTCTGTTTTGAACAAGTATAACAATACTGCTGG